TCAGCTGAATTGGTTCAGTGGTTTCTGAGTCTATAGGTTATTAACAAACACACAAACATTGTGATATATATATATATATATATATATATATATATATATATATATATATATATATATATATGTATATATATATATATATATATATATATATATATATATATATATATATATATATATATATATATATATATATATATATATATATATATATATATATATATATATATATATATATATAGATTATAGTAACGTTCCTCTTAGTGAGGTTTGAGCTTCAGCGCAGTTTGCGGAAGACAATTTGATGTCTATTTTAATTTCTAATGGCAGGAATCCATTGAGTGGAGGTTGTAGTCGTAAAGATCATTGGTGCAGATAATATAGACTTATTATCGTGAGTATACTAATCATCGTCATCTTGTGACGTGTAATGTGAATGACATTAAATTTGATGTGGCCTGTCACAAGTGGTTATTGTTGGCTCGTCAGGATAGCTGTATTTGCTGGTGCTGTGCCCAGTGTGCCAGCCGTTATATTATGCAGGACTGAAGGTAGTTGCCTCACATCCATCAAGGAGAGATCCAGCGGACTGTTAGCGTAGGCACCCTAGGCCGACATACTTGGTTGGGTTTCTGATACAAAGCTGTATCAGTGCATAAACATAGATATTATACGGACTAATATAACCAAGTGCTCTGTATATCTATAGTCTACATAGGGTTATACAAGAGTACAACACAGGTGCGGCCGCTTTTAAGACGCACTATGCCTACTATTGCAGATAGGCTTAACCCTTTCGCTGCTACGTTCCCGGAAATAGTTGTCCTCCCTGTGCTAAGCAATGTGAAAAAAAAAGTCTCTGCTGTGCGCAATACTTTTCTATCCTCTAAACGCAAAAGATGCGTCCGCGGTGAGGGCGAGGGTTCGCTTGTTCATACAGCATTGAGCATTTAGGGTCGAGACAGAACAAAAAATTAGAGTTCGTTTCGATGACCGAATGCTGTGTTCTTGTCATCATGTTCGGGGAAAAGACGAACAAAATTTTAGAGTGACTAAATACTGTTTGATATTACAGTAAGTAGCAGAGTAGCAGAAATACAGATTAGCGCTTTGGTGAGTAATCAAAAATCTATTGCACTAACTGAGTTTCAAATCATCGGGTTGCATGCAAGTATAAGCTGACATAATTTACTTGCACGCGTCCACAACCCCCACGTTTTGATGGCGATCATTGTTGCGCTACTCTGTATTCGCGACGATGAGGGACCGCGTCAGTCGGAAGGCAAACAAACAGCATTTTTTGGAAACGCCGCCGGTTTCAGCAGAGTCGGATATACTGATGGGGCGCTAGTCAAAATCTTCTTGTTCACTCGTCAGTAGCCCACTAGTACGAAATCTCTTGTTCACTGTCAGTAGTACACATTTCAAAGTCCTATCTTCGCTATCAGTTTTTGAGGCAGAAATCTAGGCGCATCCAATTCATTTATCAATCTTTAACAAGTTTTTCTTGGGGCTGTATTGTTGTAACGTGTCAAGTGTTTAGAATAATCCAAAAGGCAGCAAATTATAGTTATTGCCATCAGGGGGCACCACCAATACCCTACCAAGATATGCGACCACGCTTTTTAGTTGTCACCGGTAAGAGGCAAAAGCAACGGGATAACGCCAAAAAAACATGATATGCAGGTAGGTAAATACGCCTTTTTTCTTAAAACAGCACCCACAAAGTACTGTATGCCAGTGCTTTTTTAATGCATGATGGTAATGGGGTCAAGGTTTACAGTGCTAATCTAAATATAGCTAATTGATATTGCCGGCTTCAGCCAATAAATACGATACACTGGTAACAGAAATCTGTAAGGAAAAGTCGTTTTAAAACGCTTAGGAACGTCCTTAGCACTTGGGGGTCAAGAAAAAAAAGTAACGTTCCAAAAGCTGCTTAGGACCGTCCTCATATCCTTTAGGGACGTCCATAGCACTGGGGGTTCAAGGAAAAAAAATAAATAAACGTCCAAAGACGGGCGCGTTCGTTTCCCGTTTAGCCCGTAGCAGCGTACGGGAAATCGGGAATGAGGAGTGAACGAAAAAAGACGCTGTCCCCTCCCATCATTAGCAGTTCGAAAGGGTTTTTAAATTTAACGTTCCTCTGTAGGCTAAAAGTCATATATCAGAGTTTCTAGTCTTGGTGAGACAATTAGGCACCCCTCCCTAGCACGAAAAAGCCCCTGGATTAGAAGTAAGGGTCATAGACTGTGGATAGAGTCTAATGGGTCATCATAGTACTGAAAAAGAGGGTAAAGTCTTGGGATGGTGCAAGCTGAATGCAAGCTGGATGACAACAAGATGACACAATATGAAATGTTTGGCGCAGGCTGTATAAATGTAGGCGAGGAGCGAGGAGAGAATTGACGGAGAAGGAGTCTAAAGTGTCCGATTTCCCGATCAGGCGGGTGGATGCTCAGGACTTGTGCGGGGGGGGGGGTTCTAATGCACGTTGGGACGGGCGTTATCGTGCGTGTAGTGGATTTGTTGCGTTGTCGCGTTTTGCAAGTTGTAGGGACTATGACCAGCCTGATTGCTGCAGAATCAGATGGTCGAATAAAATATTGCATGACTCAAGTTTCAGCCAAAGCGATTGTAATTGTATAAACATATGGCTCCGTGTTGTTAAGGGCAGACGAAGTGCCATAGGGGGTATTGGTCAAGGGGGTTTTAGCGAAAGGCGGATGAAAATGGACCGAATAGAAGGAATATGGACGAAGGGCGAAATGGGACCCGACGCTTGGTGGCAGTACAAAAAGGCCTGTGCATTAGGAAATACAGCAACGTTCTCTATCATAGTTTGGAGGATTGTGGAGGGTTGGAGGTAGGTCTAGGGGCCTGCTGATTCCTCTGCTTTTCCTTGATGTATATTAGCTGTTAGGGCAGTTGCACATGTTCGTTCATGTATTGTTAACTGACGATCGTCGGGCAGAGCATGTTGAGATGAAAGTGCGAGGACAGCATATGCTCTGTGCAAAGAGTGAGGGCAAAGGCATCAGCTTCAAGAGGAGTTCCCGGGGGTTAGTAGGGGCATCCTTTGCTAGATAGCATCCTTTCTCCAGGTTCATGCGGCCCAGTTGTGTTTTGGGATAATGAGCTAGATCAGATAGATTGGCGCGTATTCTTGACTCACTTGGGTTGGTGAACTAAATGTATGACGAAGCTGGAATGGTGTTGAGGCCCCCGTTTTAAGGCGAGTGAAGCAGTGTCCACAAAAAAACAAAAACCGGCTCTAGGTAAGCAGATATGATCCTTGAGGTGCGGTTCTGAGGAGAGTTAGCAAAGGTTAAATCCTGGTCAGACGACTTCGACACTGCAGAAGGAATGGGCGGAGTACGGCGGATATATCGAGCGCCGAGACGGATATACAATAAGACCTGGTGTGTAGAGGCACTCTTTGAGTAGTCTTGTGTGTAGAGACTCTCTTTAAGTAGTCTGGTGTGTAGAGGCACTCTTTGAGTAGTCTGGTGTGTAGAGGTACTCTTTCAGTAGTCTAGTGTGTAGAGGCACTCTTTGAGTAGTCTGGTGTGTAGAGGCACTCTTTCAGTAGTCTGGTGTGTAGAGGCACTCTTTAAGCAGTCTGGTGTGTAGAGGTACTCTTTCAGTAGTCTGGTGTGTAGAGGCACTCTTTAAATAGTCTGGTGTGTAGAGGCTCTCTTTAAGTTGTCTGGTGTGTAGAGGCACTCTTTAAGTAGTCTGGTGTGTAGAGGTACTCTTTCAGTAGTCTGGTGTGTAGAGGCACTCTTTAAATAGTCTGGTGTGTAGAGGCTCTCTTTAAGTTGTGTGGTGTGTAGAGGCACTCTTTAAGTAGTCTGGTGTGTAGAGGCACTCTTTCAGTAGTCTGGTGTGTAGAGGCACTCTTTAAGCAGTCTGGTGTGTAGAGGTACTCTTTAAGAAGTCTGGTGTGTAGAGGCACTCTTTAAATAGTCTAGTGTGTAGAGGCTCTCTTTAAGTTGTCTGGTGTGTAGAGGCTCTCTTTAAGTTGTGTGGTGTGTAGAGGCACTCTTTAAGTAGTTATAGATGATATACAATTGCAGAATGAAAGACACAACGTTAGAAACTCAATGGTAAGTGTATTTACATCCATTCAGTATCACTCGTTTGGCAGTAAACAACAGGATAACAAAGACGAGTACACACTTTTGGATGAACAAATCAAACTGGGACTTTTAATATGACCTCGTTTTCTGATACTGTTAGCAACCAGAACAAGGGATACATGGGAAGGGTGAAATGACTAGGGTGGAAATGTTGTGGTGTCACCGTGACATGATGTTACAAGATCACTGCTGATGAGATCAGGTGACTACCTCTGTTCCTTCCGGTTGTGGAAGGTTTGTTTTTTCGAAGATGTTCTGTTATCGAAGGTTTGTATTTCACTAAGGTTTCGACACTGGAATCAAACCCTCCCCGTTTGTTTTTAGATCGCAACTGCCTTAATCGAAACTGGGTCAGACGTCTTGGTTGTCTAGTGAGCGCACTATATGCCAGTACAGCTCGAATAAATAAAATACAATTATAATATTTGATCAGCCCAACAACTGCTGTACCGAAGTCCTGAAGTTATGACAACAAACATGGATGTCAACAGGCAGCTAAAGAACTGACATGGCCAGAACGTGGATTTAGATGTAGAATATCCGTTTATTAGCCATGACTCGAAGTAGCTACATCGTCAAGTAAAGCATTGTCATTTCTGTTCCTATGCCAAGGTTCCCGAGAGAAGAAGGGGTGCAAGGCTGTTGCCAGCTTGGCTGCTGGGTTGTTCGCCACCTGGTGCTCCAGGGCCTCCGTTGGCTGCTGTTGGCTGTTGGTTGAGCATCATCAGTGGAAGTATTCTGGCCAGCTGATCGGCGCCACCACCCTGCAGCAAGGACATCAATAACATGGGATTGTTGGTGAGACCTCCTGCTCCTCCTGAGCCTTGCATTTGGTTCATCAACATCATCAAAGGCATCATTTCAGTAGCTCCGCCGCTCCTTAGCATCATCATTAGTGGCAACATGCTGCCGCCCGCTGCTCCTCCGGCGCCCCCACCTTGGTTCTGGTTGAGCATGGACATCAGCATTAGCGGGAGTACACCTTCCCCTGCCATCCCACCCCGGCTGAGCAACAGTGGCAGCATGGCACCCCCTGCCGCCCCAGGCATTTGAGCTGCGAACAAAAGAGGTCAGTCATTAAAACGATTAGATATTTACACACACAGCTACTTGAACGATGAGACAGCTACACAAAGCCATTAGAACAATGACACAGTTACAATATCCATTAGAACGATAGCACAGTGACACACAGCCATTAGAACGATAGCACAGTGACACACAGCCATTAGAACGATAGCACAGTGACACACATCCATCAGAACGATAGCACAGTGACACACAGCCATTAGAACGATAGCACAGTGACACACAGCCATTAGAACGATAGCACAGTGACACACATCCATCAGAACGATAGCACAGTGACACACAGCCATTAGAACGATAGCACAGTGACACACAGCCATTAGAACGATAGCACAGTGACACACAGCCATTAGAACGATAGCACAGTGACACACACAGTCATGTAGAGTACGTTTACACGGACACATATTCATATAATACATACAAACAAACATACCCACACAAACACTTACACTCACACACACACACACACAGACACACTCCACTCGGAGCAAAAGTATTGTCTCTCCACCCGGAGCTACAGTAGTAAATCTCCACTCGGTGCTACAGTAGTATCTTTCCAACTGGTGCTACAGTAGTATCTCTCCACCCAGTGCTACAGTACTATCCTACCACACAGAGCAAAAGTACTATCTTTCCATTCGGATCTATAGTACTATCTTTCCACTTTGCTTTACAATAGTATATCTCCACTTGGAGCAACGTTACTGTCTCTTTACTTGGATCTACAGTACCATCTTTCGACCTGGAGCTGCAGTACTATCTCCAAACTTGGAGCTACAGCAATATATCTCCACTCGGAGCTACAGTACTATCTTTCGACCTGGAGCTGCAGTACTATCTCCAAACTTGGAGCTACAGCAATATATCTCCACTCGGAGCTACAGTACTATCTCTCCACTCAGAGCTACAGTAATATCTCTCCACCCGGAGCAAAAGTACTTTCTCTCCACCAGGAGCTTCAGTACTACCTTTACACTCCGTGCAACAGCAACATCTCTCCTCTGCGTGAAACAGTACAATCTCTCCACTCGCAGCTGCAGGAATATCTCTCCACACAGAGCTACAGTACCATCTCCCCACTTGAAGCTACAGTACCACCTCTCCACTCAGAGCTACAGAACTACCTCTCCACCCAGAGCTACATTAGCAAATCTCCACCAAGAGCTGCAGTACTGTCTATCCATTTGAAGCTACAGTACCATCTCTCCACTTGAAGCTACAGTACAATCTCTCTATCTGGAGCAACATTACCATCTCTCCACCTGGAGCTACAGTACTATCTCTCCACCTTGGAGCAACAGTACTATCTCTCCATCTTGGAGCAACGGTACTATCTCTCCATCTTGGAGCAACGGTACTATCTCTCCACCTGGAGCAACAGTACTATCTCTCAACCTTGGAGCAACATTACTATCTCTCCACTTGAAGCTACACCATCTCTCCACTTGAAGCTACGCCATCTCTCCACCTGGAGCAACAGTACTGTCTCTTTACTTGAAGTTACAGTATTGTCTCTCCACTTGAAGCTACAGTACCGTCTCTCCACTTGAAGCTACAGTACTAACTCTCCACTTGAAGCTACAGTACTGTCTCTCCACTTGAAGCTACAGTACTGTCTCTCCACTTGAAGCTACAGTACCGTCTCTCCACTTGAAGCTACAGTACCAACTCTCCACATGAAGTTACAGTACCGTCTCTCCACTTGAAGCTACAGTACCAACTCTTCACTTGAAGCTACAGTACCAGCTCTCCACTTGAAGTTACAGTACTGACTCTCCACTTGAAGCTACAGTACCAGCTCTCCACTTGAATCTACAGTGCCAGCTCTCCACTTGAAGCCACAGTACCAGCTCTCCACTTGAAGCTACAGTAGCAACTCTCCACTTGAAGCTACAGTACTGTCTCTCCACTTGAAGCTACAGTACTGTCTCTCCACTTAAAGCTACAGTACTGTCTCTCCACTTGAAGCTACAGTACCAGCTCTCCACTTGAAGCTACAGTACCAGCTCTCCACTTGAAGCTACAGTAGCAACTCTCCACTTGAAGCCACAGTAATAGCTCTCCACTTGAAGCTACAGTACTGTCTCTCTACTTGAAGCTACAGTACCAGCTCTCCACACCCTTACATATTTATTTAGCAAACACAGTTTGCTGCCTCTATCCCAGCCAGACTCACAGACAGGACGGTTCGCTTGAGGTCCCCACTTGTCAAATAGACAGTTTGCTACCCCTATACCAACCTGTCTCACAGACAGGACGTTGCGCTTGAGGTATTTACTTGTCACCTACATTTTCTAGAAAAGTCAAGGCTGTGCTCTAAAGCTTCTTTCTGACTGATTAGTTTTAATAGTTATGTAAATTACTGCACTTTGTGTGCGTGTGTGTGTGTGTGTGTGTGTGTGTGTGTGTGTGTGTGTGTGTGCACCACAAATACATGTTGCAGAGCCAGACCGTCCCGAACGATGGCTCGCAAAATTTATTGCCTCACTTATTTCCAGTATCTCGTCAGGTGCGTTACTACAAAGTTATATCAATGTATATTGAAGCAATCAAACTTAAACAATTCTACTGAAATGCACCACTTCTAAATAGGTACCCCACAGGATTAGGAAACGTCACTGCACCCACCACCACGCCAACCACAACGAAATGGCATGGTAAAGCACGTCTTTGCCGTCTTCGAGGCCGAGATAGGAGACAGTATAACCAGCTTCTCATGGGAACACTTAGTTGAAGTACTTTAGAGTGGCTGATGCAACGGAGGACTGAGCATGCATGGCTATGCCCAATGTGCAATGACGTCGATTGTGATAACATAAAATAACATAACATCTTGTAGGGAGGCGGCAGTCCGAATCCCAAGTTCAAGGTGTCTCCTTCGTGCCAAAGAACTGCATGGCTGTTGTGTGAACAGTCGTTAACGAAGGCAGTCAGGTCGTTGTTGGGGCGACGCTTGCTGGTGGATGTAATGTCATAAGTCCCTTCCCCAGCTAATAGTGAGAGTACTGCTGGGGTGACCGTTTATTAACCCTCAAATAATGCTTCTGGTCAAAATGGACGCTAGGCACGGCCACTTTTCGTAGCGGTGGCAATTTTTTTTCTTTTGCCAGACGGTGGCCGTTGCAATTTTGCTCCATTTATAGACTGGAATCATATAGTTTGGTTGCCCAGCTTCTGAGTTGAGTGCATGGCGCAACACTGTGAGCTGCGAATTTCATTTAAACTGTGATAAACATGTGTTTTTCGTTGGCACAGGAGCGGAGAAACTATGACGTGACCCGTTTGCTTTACAGCTTAAACTAACATTACCAGATAACCAGATTACAAAAAAAAGATAATGTTGATTCAAGTAACGTTTCGAGGGGCTGATGTCACGCAGCGTCTGCAGGACCAGCTAAAAACAGTTGTTGGTTAAACCTTCTTTGCCACTGTTCTAGTGGGCAGATGCTCCCACCCCAACCCTGCCTCTTGAGAGCATGTGTCCGCGTACTCAAGATCCAGTTGTTTCTATCAATTTACATTAAAGTGCAAATTGACTTACCTTGGTCGAAAGCGAGGACAATTTGAAAATAGACAGCAGAACACATAACCAAGTGGTTACATGCACAGGTGAGTGATTCCGCAGAGGCAGAGGACCCGAGGAAACAACCGATCTCCTCTAAAGAGCGTCATCTGCTTGAGTCCCAGACATGTAATTACACCCCCCCCCCCCCTAACCGTAAACAAAGTAATTAATTATACATTTGAAGATATCATGGTAAGTCACGTGACTTCCCGTGTTTAGATTAACATGATGTGTCGATATAAAGGATGTGTAAAGTAAAGTAAAGGACCCTTTCCACGCCTTTAGGCGTATAGGGCATATAGGGCTAGACCTATATTTTTATAGACCAACGGCACAAAATGGGTGATGTGGTCAGCATCACGCCGGCCGCCTCTACTTCCCGGGATTGCACCCGGTACCCACTCAAGGCTGGGTCGACCTGGGAACCAAGGTCATTTTTGAAGAAAAGTCCGTCTCCGCCAGGGAGTGAACCCACGACCTTCCGATCCGCGGCGCGCGTCTAGCCGCTCTGTCACGGCGACTCCCAAGGGATGTGTATCTCAGTAGAATTTATTCATTATTTGTGCTTCATTGTATGTTGCCGTAACTCGGCATGAACGCGCCTAACCAGATACAGCTAATGGTGCCTGCAATAAATTGTGCGATCTATTGTTTTTGTCCACATTGACTACATGAAATCATTGTACTGAAATGCCTGGTTCTGGTGCATTATTGACCACATCCAATTGTGGTCCGAAAGATGAGAGCTTCAGAGCGCCGAATATAAGACGGGTCTGCGTGCCCAATTTGTAGTCCTTAAGATATACAGTTCGTTCGTTCAGCGCCGCAGGTTGCCGAAGTAGTATTCTCGTTAAAGCTCGGGGACGTACAGGGCTGCGAGAGGTTCCGTGTAGCTTCTACAAACTTGTCACTGTTTTCATTCTCCAGTACAGTCATCACAGGAGCAGTTTTGTACAACTCTCTTTCACTTCTAGAAGTTAAAAGAATTAGACGGGCAGTGTCCAGAGAAAGCTCGATAGTGTAAGGATCATGGATACTGTTCGCCCAAGACACATTCGAATCTCCTATGACAGTTGCAAGAACATCGCATCTACTTACCACTGGCGGAATACAGCAGACAACAGACAAGGGCGGCTGCTAACAGTTTCATCATGTTGTCGAGTTTTCTGCAAGTTAACAAAAACCAGGTGTTATGTTTCATTTATTAAAGGTAGATTGCGTTAATGTCTGTGTCTGTCGTGTTAATCATCATCTTCAGAAGCATCGCCATTATCATCGTTAACATCATCTTTACCATCGTGAGCATCATCAACATCGTCGTCGTCATAATCATCATTGTCATCATCGCCGCGGCCGTTACTGTCTTCTTCTTCTTCTTCTTCTTCTTCTTCTTCTTCTTCTTCTTCTTCTTCTTCTTCTTCTTCTTCTTCTTCTTCTTCCTCTTCGTGTTCTTGTTCTTCTTGTTCTTGTTCTTCTTCTCCTTCTTCTTCTTCTTCTTTTTCTTCTCCTTCTTTTTCTTCTCCTTGTTGTTGTTGTTGTTGTTGTTGTTGTTGTTGTTGTTGTTCTTCTTCTTCTTCTTCTTCTTCTTCTTCTTCTTCTTCTTCTTCTTCTTCTTCTTCTTCTTCTTCTTCTTCTTCTTCTTCTTCCTCTTCGTGTTCTTGTTCTTCTTCTTGTTCTTCTTCTTCTCCTTCTTCTTCTTCTTCTTTTTTTTCTTCTTCTTTTTCTTCTCCTTCTTTTTCTTCTCCTTGTTGTTGTTGTTGTTGTTGTTGTTGTTGTTGTTGTTGTTGTTGTTGTTCTTCTTCTTCTTCTTCTTCTTCTTCTTCTTCTTCTTCTTCTTCTTCTTCTTCTTCTTCTTCTTCTTCTTCTTCTTCTTCGAAACTGTTAGATCGAATATTGCGACCTCTAATCAAGTCTGTTTATTTACGTTTTCAAATGGGAGGTAATTATCTCAGCCGTCTAGATCCTCGAGCGGGTGTGTCAAAGTTATCGATCATATCTTGTTAAAAAGAAAACTGAACGCTACACAGTCTTCGGGCGGCACTGTTCTTGTGCCAGTTGTACCTGTGATCCCGTCGAAACAAACCGTGACATTTATGGCGTTTTATGTCAGTCATCTTCCGTACAATCCCACCCTGCCACAATCCCACCCTGCCACAATCCCGTCCTGCCACAATCCCGACCTGCCACAATCCCATCCTATCACAATCCCGTCCTGCCACAATCTCATCCTGCCACAATCCCGTCCTGCCACAATACCGTCCTGCCAGAATCTCATCCTGCCACAATCTGATACTGCCACAATCTCATCCTGCCACAATCCCATCCTGCCACAATCTTATCCTACCACAATCCCATCCTGCCACAATCTCATCCTGCCACAATCGCATCCTGTCACAATCCCGCCCTGCCACAATCTCATTCTGCCACAAAGTCATCCTGCCACAATCTCATCCTGCCACAATCTCATCCTGCCACAATCCCGTCCTGCCACAATCCCATCCTGCCCCAATCCCATCCTGCCTCAATCCCATCTTGCCAAGAACACCTCAGCAGATAAAGCCCACCAACTGCTGGCTGTAAACTAAGTCTATTCAAAAGGAATCCGGCCCAATACGTGAACAAATGCAAATACAGCGAAGGCTGCTGTATGGATGAACGGAGCACAATCGTGTGTGTGTGTGTGTGTGTGTGTGTATGTGTGTGTGTGAATCGAGATACTGCGATGGCTGCTGCATCGGTGGAGGAAGCAAAATTGTGTGAGTGTGTGTGAATGGATATACTGTGATGGCTGCTGCATGGGTGGACAGAGCAAAATTGAGTGTGTGTGTGTGTGAATGGAGATAATGCGATGTCTGCTGCATGGGTGGACGGAGCACCTATGTGTCGGACTGATGTGCTAGCATGTCGACACGGACAACAAGTAACAAGTAGCAAATAAAATGTTTTTGAGGTTAAGGTCTATAATTTTGACGCTAGTAGATTTTGTTATATTGTCTTACAAAAACACCAAAGAGCAATGCGACTCTTACCTTGGCTGTGTGGAGGTGGCTAGCAAAACCTGGAGGATGTCCTGACCAGCCTAGCATTCCATGTTGTCTTTTATACCGCAAGGATCAAATCTCAGGTGAATGACGTCATGTAGGGTATCGAAGGTCAGAGAGTGATAAATGGACAACTGTTGTCTGTGAGCTGGTAAATGGCGACTCGTGCCCGAGTGTCACGTTGACGGATGTCCAGCAGGACGCCCAGATCAAGAACGACATTCGCCTACATGGGATACATACCTGGTCACGTGGTTTGATAACATGAAGTGAGGCTGCGGGCATATGGCGCTTCTCATTTATTACCTAGATTATCTGTCCGCGGGGGATCTGTGTCCGACTCTCTACATGGTTTGTGGAGCAATTATCCTAACTGAGAAAACAGTCCCCCTCTAACAGTTCATATTTGTTGTACCAGACTTGTCATTAATTTTAGGCCAGAAGACACGAGTCTGGTGTGCACACGTACTCAATTATCTAGTTTTTTACGTTTGTACAACATACCGATGTCAGAATTATTCTCAGACTGACAGACACTCGCTGGAACAAGACGCACATACCACAGGTTAGGCTTGAGAATCGGTTGTCAGATGTCAAAGATCATTTCCCTAACATGATGATGTTCATCAGTTGTTGTTTCCGGTGCAATGATACCAGTTGATGCTGTAAACACGACACGGGCAGTGTTTGTGCGCTGATGAAGGCATGAAGACGCCTGAGCTGGAACGACTAGAACTGACATTATTATACTTTAGACAGTAGAGTTCAATGCTGGCTGAACTTTACTTCTCAAAGTCTGTCCTGGTACTAAACTAAGACACCCTGCCCGCCGATGCCACTTTACAAAACAAACCATAGCTTCATAGAGGATTGCAACACATCTCCCACAAGACAGTAGGCGAGCTGAAGGAGGTGACATCCACACATACAAGCGGCGGCGGAGTCACAAGTTGTAGGCAGCATCTCAGTTTAACTGTTAGTTTAGGAAGGACTGACAACAAAATATCACAACGGCCAATCCTAGTGAGATATGGAACACACTGGAGAGGCCAACAGACCGGACCAGCTTTCCGAGACAGGAAATAGGCAAATATTCCACAAGTAGAGAGCCATTAGCCGTTTTAGTCATTTTACAGTTTTATACTTGAACATTATATACTCCTAGTGTTCTTTCCCTATACTTGCACATTATATAATCCTTGTGTTCTTTCCTTACACTTGCACACTACAAAATCCATGTTTCCTTTTTTTATACTTGAACATATTAAGATCCTAGTGTTCTTTCCTTATACTTGCACATTATATAATCCTCGTGTTCTTTCCTTATACTTTCACATTATATAATCCAAGTGTTCTTTCCTTATACTTTCACATTATATAATCCAAGTGTTCTTTCCTTATACTTGCACACTATATAATCCTAGTGTTCCTATCTTATACTTTCACATTATATAATCCAAGTGTTCTTTCCTTATACTTGCACACTATATAATCCTAGTGTTCTTTCCTTATACTTGCACACTATATAATCCTAGTGTTCTTTCCTTATACTTGCACACTATATAATCCTAGTGTTCTTTCCTTATACTTGCACACTATATAATCCTAGTGTTCTTTCCTTATACTTGCACACTATTTAATCCTAGTGTTCCTATCTTATACTTGCACACTATATAATCCTAGTGTTGTTCTCTTATACTGGCACACTATATAATCCTAGTGTTCCTATCTTATACTTGCACACTATATAATCCTAGTGTTGTTCTCTTATACTGGCACACTATATAATCCTAGTGTTCCTATCTTATACTTGCACACTATATAATCCTAGTGTTGTTCTCTTATACTGGCACACTATATAATCCTAGTGTTCCTATCTTATACTTGCACACTATATAATCCTAGTGTTGTTCTCTTATACTATCACACTATATAATCCTAGTGTTCCTATCTTATACTTGCACACTATATAATCCTAGTGTTGTTCTCTTATACTGGCACACTATATAATCCTAGTGTTCCTATCTTATACTTGCACACTATATAATCCTAGTGTTGTTCTCTTATACTGGCACACTATATAATCCTAGTGTTCCTTCTTATACTTGCACATTATATAATCCTAGTGTTCTTTCTTGCTTATACTTGCACACTATATAATCCTAGTGTTCTTATCTTATACTTTGCACATTATATAATCCTTAGTGTTCCTATCTTATACTTGCACACTATATAATCCTAGTGTTGTTCTCTTATACTGGCACACTATATAATCCTAGTGTTCCTATCTTATACTTGCACACTATATAATCCTAGTGTTGTTCTCTTATACTATCACACTATATAATCCTAGTGTTCCTATCTTATACTTGCACACTATATAATCCTAGTGTTGTTCTCTTATACTGGCACACTATATAATCCTAGTGTTCCTATCTTATACTTGCACACTATATAATCCTAGTGTTGTTCTCTTATACTGGCACACTATATAATCCTAGTGTTCCTTCTTATACTTGCACATTATATAATCCTAGTGTTCTTTCCTTATACTTGCAAATTATATAATCCTTGTGTTCTTATCTTATACTTGCACATTATATAATCCTTGTGTTCTTTCTTTATATTTGCACGTTATATAATCCTTGTGTTCTTATCTTATACTTGCACATTATATAATCCTTGTGTTCTTTCTTTATACTCGCACGTTATATAATCCTTGTGTTCTTTCTTTATATTTGCACGTTATATAATCCTTGTGTTCTTTTTTTATATTTGCACGTTATATAATCATTGTGTTCTTTCCTTATACTTGCAAAATATATAATCCCAGTGTTCATTCCTTATACTTGCACACTATATAATCTAAGTGTTCTTTCATTATGCTTGTACATGATATAATCCTTGTGTTCTTTCCTTATGCCTGCACACTATACACAATCCTCGTGTTCTTTCCCTATACTTGCACACTTTAAAGTCCTTGTGTTCTTTCCTTGTACTTGCACATTATATATCGCGCACCTTACTTACAGGATATTTTCACAAATCCCTCAGGTGCTCTGAGACAGGAGAGTTTTGAATGGTGGCTCTCGTTTGTCTAGAGGCCTAACCCTCGGTTCAAACTTTCCATTCAACCTGTCTCAGGGATGAGGTGACACGAGCTCTGACTCCACAGGGTTATTATGAACACTTGGGTACCTCTCGGCCAGACGTCCTCACCACAGATTGCCCCCAGACTGGAACAAAACAAGTCCAGTCGAACAAATAATCAACAGCGAATTTGACAAGACAACACTGCCTCTCTGAATAAGACAATGAAATTCAGTAACACGAAACTTTTCTACCAACTAGAAGACTGATGAATTATAACACGGTTGTAATTAATTTACTATAACAAAGTTAATGAAAAACGTATCGTGAAGAATTAAAAGGAACGATCGCAAAACTTTGAAAATCTAACACAAGAGAAAGAAAGAATTCCTCTAAATAGACCTATAGACTTTCGGGTTCATCACGGCGGAGGAGAAGACTTGACCATGAAGGCACCTTCGGAGTTGAGTTATCTTAAGTCTGCTACTTTACTTATCTGATCAGATCTCGTAGCTCCTCAAGATGTCAGAATGGAATTACCCGCCACCGTACTTTACTGCACGGCTCCACAGGAACGAATCAGCTTCTCCGGATGCCGGAAAGGAAATTCTCACTGCCGTACTTCCCAGTACGACCTTACATGAACGAATCAGCTTCTGGTATTAATCAAGGACGTCGACTCACTTCACCGGAACGAATCAGCTACTGGTGTTGATCTAAGATAATCAACTCACTATCGAAAGACTTCGGTTCAAGCGTCGTCCGCACATTCAGCACAGCAATTTAGCACATGTAAATCGCTTTCTGGATCGTGGCAGTTGGGACCACACTATCATACTCGCACACTTGTTGGATCTTCAGAAATCCTGAAAAACGTAAAGCAACAGACATGAGCGAACCGTACACAACGCACCTATTTAATCAAGGTCCTTACTTCCTCCAAATGCTCAGATATATTTAGGGTTATTCCAAACCACGAAGGTTGGTTACCTCTATCTTAGAATCCTTTTTGTTTCCTAGAGTGAGCACTAGATCATTAACTCGATTAGTTCCTGGATTCAGTTCTGTAGCAAAGGTTAGACAGATCCGCATTATTTACCCTTCCTTCTAACGTAGAAAATAAGGGATCGGCGATGAAGTCAAAACCAAGACCGACTGAAATATGTTATGAAAACAATACGACAGTCGAAGCTTGTTGTGGTT